CCTCAAATCCACTCAAGTGAATAAGGCCTTAGTGAAAGATATTGTAGGTATTTTAAAAAATTTTGAAGGCATAGATGAAACCTTTCAAAGTGCAAGATGAAACACCCATCTTTTAAACGTCCCAGCCATTCATTGCATTACATATAATATCTCCAAAATTAAACTGATTTCTAGCATTTTTCAGTACAAAATTAGAGTATAAAGTAGAGTATTTGAAAAGTTTTCCTTCAATTTTTCTTTTAGCCCACTCATTTGGTGATCCACTAAAAGGAAGCTTATCCAAAAATAGATTAAGGTGGGATTACGTTAAATTGACACATCTATATAATTTCCAAAATTAATGTAATTTCTAGCATATTTAAGTAGAAAAGTAGAACATTTGAAAAGTGTTCCCTAATTTTTTCTTGTAGAGGTCTTGGTTGAGTGAAACTCTCCGATTTTAAAAAATATTTATTTTTATTTGTTTTGAATAAATTATATGAATGTATATTGTTATACTGCATAGAATGTAATGTATTTATCGAGAAGATAAATTTGTTTTAGTGAAATTATTTAAATAAGTAGTATATTTGTTACCATATTTGAGTCTAGGTCCATTGTTTATTACATTCTTCTATCACCAATTTCCTTTTTAACTATTTCTTTAACTCTCTTTAGTTATGAATTTGCTTTTTAATTATTATTTCTATAAATAGGTCTTATGAATATAAAATGTTTTCATCTGCCAACACTCAATTTCATCTAGTTAATTAAAAGTATTAAATAAAATAAGATGAATTGATTTTTAAAAGAATACATAAAATTTTGAAAAAAAGAATATTTAAATTTGAGAAAATTACCAAAATAACTTGGTAAATGAAAAATTAGAATTTATTTTAGAATACTATAATAAAAATAAATATTTATAATTTTATTTTTTATTTACAAATAAAATAAAAAGTATATAATAAAAATCTTCCTAAAAAAACACTAGAAAGCAATAAAGTAGATAGAAAATTGAAAGAAGACAAAATATGAAGAACGGTTTACAAAAGATGAGACGGACGCTTATGGCCGAACGACCTTACAAGATAACGGAGAAATTAAAACTGTACAAATATGCAATTTAGATAGAACGGTTTACAGAAGACATACCGAACGGTCATACAAAAGAAGAAAACAACATATGACCGAACATTATCACACAAAGAAACTAACTACTGACTGAACGGCTCTACTGTTCGGTCTTAACTTCTATCTCGACCAAACTTTCTTCTTCCAGCGCCTCTTCCAGCAAAGCTTCTCTTTCTGCTCACATCCACATGGATGATCATTGCAACAGAAGGACAACCACCGAACGTACAAAACGGACAAGACAGGAAATAGGATAAACTTATATAATTTAATTCAATTATCAACATATATCTCACTCAATCAATTTAAACAAGATAACTCATTAACTCTTTCATGCAAAGCCTAATACTAGACTCTGACTGTCCGGACTGTATGAATTATGTGTAGCTACGACGTTCGTGCACCCGGGTGATGTAGTAACTGGGATACCCTCAACAGCTGCCACCCGAGGTTAGTCCGTTCTGTCCAAATTAACCATAAGGACGAGGACCTCTTGCCATTCCCACACATGACTTACCCTTCTCTGCGTGAGAAACGAGTAATCACGGAATATCAGGATGAACCGCCAGCTTAGCATGCTCACATTCATACTTTACCATTCCAATATCAAATCATGAGATATTCCTCCCCGGGACACTCTTCCATAACCAAAGTCATTTCATCCATATCGTATTTTATCATCTTTCATTATTAAAACCTCAATTGAACCAATTTGAATAATGATCCCTTAGGATACCAAATACCGCACGTTAGTTTTTAATCCAGAACAGGACCGAACACTTGGAGTGAAACCGAGATGTCTCCAACTCAAACATAATCAAATTGAGAGAGTTACTCACTAGTTATGAAAAGGACCGAATATAATAATACTTCTTAGAAACTAATATAATCGAATGTTGTTTACCAAGTGAGCCAATTTAGCGAACTGATTCTTGAGAGTTCAAACCGAACACCGTAAAGCCTAGGCCGAGTACTAGGACTCTAGGTCGAAACCAATTGAGACAGGTACTGTAGGACACCAAATAATAGTACTTGACGAAATCATATGAAGAAATCGATCGCCAATAAATACTTAGCTTCTTAATGAGATAAACTTCAAGGAAACCGAATGTCAGTTGAAGACTAAGCACTGTAGAGAGCAAACTCTATGGAGTTTGGACGAACGCTCTTATTATAAAGATAGATTACGAAAACGAGAACGAGCGCCTAGTGTAAGACCGAACGCTTGGTGTAAGACCGAGCACTACTTAGTACGAGCCCTTGGTGTAAGACAGAGCACTACTAAACTTATAGAAGAAAGACTTGATAAATATAATAAGATACCATTTAAATAGTGTTCACGAACGAACAAAATATACAAATACATATAGATATACTTAAGTTTACCATTAAACACCAAGGAACGAATATCCTTGGTTGAACGCTTATATACATATATTACAGAACTAAGACGCTCGTTCCTCAATTGGAATTCTTTCCAAATGAAAGAATCCAGTTCCAACCGAGTCCACAGGAAAACCCAACGATCAAAGATCTTCAGTGACGAACATAAATTTTCACATAAAACTCTAGACTTAGAATTCATAATCTTATCAATACATTTCTCAACATCTATCTTCATACATTCATACATCCATATCATAGTAAATATTCACACTTCATACAGTCAAAACATATCAACAATCATACTTCATATTCATTCAGAAATCAATGAACGTACATTCATTCAAAACAAGAATCTTAATCAAATTATATAAGTTTTCGTTACCTCTAAGCGTGACCGAACGTTCACAGTTCAGAATACGGGTTCACCTTTACCAGAGACCTTAGCGTTCTTAGTAACGCCTTAAGAAACTAAACCAAACAAAAATCCAGAAACTCTCAGAACAAGATGATGGACTCATGCAACCCATAAACTAGGTTTGCATGTACCAGGAAACCAACCAGCTGAGTGAAGAGAGAACTTACCAACTTAGAACCCAGAACTGATCGGTTGAAACGAATGTCCTCAACGCCGGAAATGCTCAGGTGTTGTTTGTTTGATGATCGGAAGAAGACAAGAGTGAGATTTTGTAAAGAGAAGTAAAAGCTTTTTAGAGAGAAGAAGGAGAAAAATGGAGTTTCAGAAGATTGAAAAAGATGGTTGCATGCAAAGAGTGGCGTAAATTTTGAAAAATTAAGTTTTACTCCTACCCTCCAAAACCGAACGGTCACTCGACTGCTCATATCTGTCTTCCACTTTCTGATTTCCAGCTATCCTTACTCGACATTTGTCTTCCACTCAAATGAGATTTTTAGTGTGTTTTAAATGGTTCTGACACGATTCAGTGAGTTTTACACGAAAAGTAGTGTCATCAAAACATATTATGTTCATCTTTGAAAAAGACAATTAAAAACTTATTTCATTGTGCATCTCCTTTTAAATACAAAATTCTGTGACTTTTCCCGCCGAAAATCACTGAATCCGTTGAGGAATGTAGAGATAGAAAAAATTGAGCGCAAAAGTTTTTGGAAGCAAGAAAACACAACAGTGAGCAAAATTGGACCAAAGCGAACAACCAAAATTTTTCCAGAGTGTGTGTGGAGCAGCAGGAATAGAACCAGTGAATACAAGAGAATCAATAGACAAAGGGAGGGAGAAGAAGATAAACGGTGTTGGTCGGTGTCGTACGTTTCTTCATTTTTGCTTAAATTAGTATGAAGGTGTGCTTCGGGTAATGGGAAAATCCTATCTATTCATTACCGCTGTTTTCGAAAACAGTCGTTTGGCTGAAGGAGTTCGAATTAGACTTATTCACAGTTCATCCAGCTTTTCAGATTAGAGAGAGAGAGAAGAATTTCAGATTCTATACAAAGAGAGAAGAAGAAAGCAATGGGTAAAGAAGAGTGGAAATGGCGACGGCGGATCAGACTGGGGCGTCGTGCGCAGTAATCGCTGGTGGCGCCGGAAATTCTTTCGGTTGCAGGCGATGACGGAACCGGCGATTGTCGTTGGAGCGCCAGTGGAGGAGGCCCGGTTCGGTCGCTTCTCGCGATTTGGTAAACCCGTTTTGGAAGAGGAAGGGAACGGGCCGGTGACGCTTCCGACCGGCGGTGCCTCCGGTTGCAGGCCGCGACGTGATGAGCGGCGTGGGGGACCCGTTGGCAGTGGTGAGTGCAGCTACTAGAAATTATAAACAAAGTGCAAAAATCTGTGTGCTCTGTATACATCTATTGGTTCCTCTCCTTCACATACATAAATACAGAAATATAGGAGAAGCAATTTATTAAGAGCTAGATTAAACTTTAAGAATTACTCGATAGAAATAAGATAAAAGAATTCAATGGTCCGTTTTTGTACCAACAATTTCCCAAAAATAAAAGTGTATAAGGAAAAGTTATATATATGAAACAATCACATCGGTTCATGCTGAGCAGAAAACTAAAAGGATGTTGACAATATATATTTGAGCAAATTATAATCAGCATAAAGCATTGCCTAATGCCTACACTTCAATTCAATTCAATTATGAATAGAAAGATGGGATACAATTCAAGGCAAAAGCAGAAACACATTAGAATAAAGTGATTCTAACATAAAGCAGGGTTCTCAAATTACATATACGGAGTTCCATACCTATTGACACAGTCGTCAGAACTGATCCATACCATATCGTCTACAAAACACCTTATAGTAATAGGTTTTGACAATAGTGGTGCAGACTCTGGGACTGGTTTTCACATGTTTTAAGTCATAATGAGTCTAGAATAGATGCAGAGAATTATTCTCAGATGTTATGAACTAAAAGACCCAATGAACAGGGATAATTGGGCATAATTAAGTAAAAAATCTCTACAGAATCAGCAAAGAAACTGAAAGACAGCTGAGAAACAGTGAAGTCGAGCAATAAAGATGGCTACAATAATGAATTTGAAGTAACGATTGTGGGAATTACACCAAATTCAAATAAATTAACCCTAGATTATAAAACTAAAGAAATCAAACAACAAATTGAAATTCAAACAAATCAACCTATTCAAAAGCAAACCCTAAGTTACCTATATGAAAGATTGTGATAGACTAACCTTGCAAGAAACATCACACCAACACGTTCTTTAAAATACCATACAGCAATCCAATGTTGAGCATCAAAAACGCACTGGGGCAAGCAACCGAGAGTGTGTGTGAGAGATTGAGGGCAATAAACAAAGAATTGGTAGAGCGAGAGAGAAGAACGAGAGACTTACCAAACCTAATCGCACAACGGTGATAAGGTGGAACTGGCTGGGCAACAATCGAAGATAGTACGTAGGTAGCAGCCGGTGATAAGGTGGGATAGAGAGAGACGACAGCCGGTGAGAAGGTCGGAGAGAGGGAGACGATGGCCGGTGAGAAGGACATAGCAGTGAGCCACGATTTTTCAGTCTGAAATCGACGGAGGGAATGAGCCATGCTTTTGAAGTATAAGGTAAGAACGTAGAGTTTATGCGTTTTTCACTATTATGAGTGGTGGGTGAATATTTTGTTCGAAAATTAAAAAAAAAATATTTTGATATATATACAAATTTTTTAAATTATATTATTTTTAGTTATTTTCATTCACTTTTTAAAACAAAATAAAAAATATTCATTTTTTATAATTATTTTATTCTTTATTAAATGAATGTAAATATATGTCATTAAATAATTATTTATTAAAAAAAATTAGAAAAAAAAGGTCAAAACACCAAAAAAAAAATAAGAAAATAAAAAATTAGATACCTAAAAAAAAATTATTGTAAAATTACACTTTAAAATGTCTTATTTTTCATTAATAATATGACAGTTAAAATAACAATGATTAAAAATATTATACCATATATGTAAATTAGGGTAGTTATTAAAATGTCATATTATATTATAAATTATAACATTTTTTAAGAACTGTGATATTATAATGGATGAGCTTTCCTCCAAACTCCTCTAGCTTTTAGTGAGGATATTTTTTATGAAAGTATTTTAGAACCCTAATTTGATGAGTCACATGGAGAGTGAACTCTAGGACCGACATGACATTTTGGGGAGAGGGAGGCAGACACGCGAGTGTTGTGGTAAAAATATTTTTTTATCGAAAAATCTGTGAAAATTAGTGTTATGATAAAACTATTTTTTTTATATAAAAATTTGTAAGAACTAGTAGGTGCAGAGTACGAATTTTATTTTAATCTGACGTTTAGGTTTCAAAGGAGGAAAGATTGTATTGTGATCATATAAGGAAGAAAGAAAAGATTGTCAATGAAGACAAAATTGGAACTAACTAAATGATTTTCTTTTTAAGTATGTGTTGTCTTATTATTTTACCTGGTTTCTAAAAGAAAAATTTATTATTTGGATTGTAATGGATATGCAAAAGCATTAAGGTATACAAAATTATATATGTTATTCAAACCCTGGGTTTCTTAAAGGCATTATGACAATTATATTATTATATACAAGTCCATGGATTGTTATGTGGGATGATGCGGAAGTGAATTAGAGCATTTTAAGGCTGGTGATTGCTTTGTTTTGGAGTTGGATACAGAGTATAGGCGGAGGTTTCTTTTTATGTATTGGAATTAAACTAGTTTGATTTGTTTTCTATAACTACTAATAAGTTGTGAGTTGGTGGTTGTTTATTAGGTACTGATGTTTTAATTAAGATAAAGATAAAATGGCTTTTTGCAATTGAAGGAGAGTGTGCTTTTTCTAATAAAGCTGAAGCCAATATCACAATTTTAATTGCATAAGGGCAGCAACCGAACCTACATAGTTGAGTGTTTATGCTTTCTTTCATTAGTTCTTATGTATTGCAGAAGTGATATTAGTGCGGTTGACTTAATGGTTTTTAATAAAGTATATAGTTATTTTATGCAAATCAGTATATAATATATATATATATATATATATATATTTATTATTACGTTTGGCATTCGATTAAACTTTTGGGTGACATCATGGTTTTATTAGATATGGTAAAATTAAATTATATAAACATAATAAAGTAGCTTTTTGCTTTGATATATAATATAAGATAGCATGAATGATTTTGATAATTTAATTATATATATAATGGAAAAAAGTAACTTGCAGGTGTGAGAGTATAATTATTAAGTTTGGCATCTGATTAAACTTTTGGGTGACATAGTGGTTTTATTAGATGTAGTAAAATTAAATTACATATAAACATAATAAAGTAGTTTTCTGCTTTTGTTGGTGATGTAATGTAAGAGATAGCATGAATAATTTTGATAATTTAATTACAAATTCGAGGATTATTATTATTTAAAAAAATAAATAAATAATTAAAATATTTTATATATTGTTTTATTTATTTTTAAATATGTGATGGTTTAGATTTTGTACATATATTGTATATATAATATTAAATTGATTGATATATGTGTTATTTTATGAGAAGAGAGAGTGGATTTAATGTTATTTAGTATGATTCTGATTATATTAATATGTGTTATTGTGAACGTAATATCTGTATAGGTGAAATAATAGTATCAATGAGAGATTGTTTAGACCACAGGTGAGGGAACTTTAGAGTTGATCTTGAGGGAATTTTTGGAATTGACCTAATGGAGTTATAGGAGCTAACTCTGACGACTCTAATTGTGGTCTCTAGGAGAGTAGTAGGGAGTGGTGGACTCGACGTATTTGTATCAGAGATGAAGTTGGTTGGAGAAACTCTTTAGAAGAGTGGTGAAAAGTGACACTTGTGTACTTCGCGACTTGAGTAGGGGCAGGGGAAATAGACTTTGTTTGGAGATTCCTAGGGAGTAGGAAGGAATAGTGATTTTAGCTCTAAAGGCAAGTTGATTTTTTATGGTAAAGTACGTGTGAGGGTTATGTTGATGATTAAACCTTTTAGACTTTGTGTACACGTGGATTGATTGATACAAGAGTAAGTGTTATTTGATTTTGTACTATTGTATAAATTAACGAAAGATTAGATGAAGCATATTATGATGTGTTATTATTATATATTTATAATTATTATATTTCCTTTTAATTTAGTTCATCTTTGTATGTTTGTGGTTGTTGTTTTCTTCCTATAAATTATGTTATATGTAAGCACATAATGTTGTAGATGGTGATTCATGCACAACAATGAAAAGGTTAGGAATCCCTTTGGAAATGCATTTTATTTTATTTGAAGTATTTTGAATAAAATTAATTATTGATATTTTTAAATATTTTCTTATTAATTGAAATAAAAATAAACTTTATGAATGGAACACTTATTAATTGCATGCAAAATAAATATCACTTTTTTTTAATATTTTATCTTATTAATCTTATATTCTTTTTATATAACGTACTAAAAGATATTATAATATAATTATATTATCAAGATTTAATAACATATTTCATTAATATATCATAATTATACTAATAAATATTTTATAATGTTATTTAACCACTTTAAATTAATAATATTAAATGAACATTATTACGTCATGTCTTTAATATATTTATTGGACTAAACACCTACACTTTCTTACTCAAACCCGACATATAAATAAAATAAAAAACACTGGGTTGAAGTTTAGAAGAAGTGGTGAAATACAAAATTGGAAATATTTTCATATTGCATGAATTAATTGTTTCTTCTCTGGGCAAAAATAAAGTTGTCATGATAATATAAGGAACGGAAATTTAGTTTATTGTATGAAAATGGATAAATTCAAAAGTATCATACTTATGTAAATTTCTTATATAATTATTTAATTATAAAAAATGGAGAGAAGGCCTATACATTAAAAATATTTGATTAAGAATAACTGAAAATAAAGATAAAAATAAAAGTAAATTCAAATAAAGAAAGAAAGGTCATTGATGTCAACAAATACCTAATATATTTATATTTTCAATTGATGTTAGACACTTAGGTAAAGAAATAGTGTAAATAAAAGATAAATTAGTGTTGTTATGAGGTGATATCTTGTTAGCTCAAGCTGTATGAGAGTCTTGAAAGGATCATTTTTCTTAGTTGAGAAAAAAGAAATCAATCAAATGACAATGATTTGTGATAATGATAATATATGATTTGTATGACTAATTATACACATAGGATGGAAAGATATGACTGACAATAATATGATATAAGTCTATAATCATGATAAGGCGATATTATTGGTGAGATAAACACATATATAACTGTACATGATTATATCTAGATGACATATGACCCTTGTGCATTCAAATGGATGGTGGAATGATAATAATGTTTGTTTGTGGTGAAATATTAACATGTTAGTTCACTGAATAAATATATATATTTTTATTTACGAAACATGGTGTTAGAAAAATATTATATGTTAGAAAAATACGGATTACTCAAAAGTTAAAAGTTTGGGAACTCTAAAGTAAATTTAAGAAATGGTGTTTTTTTTTTAAATTTATTTTTTGAGTTTTTTTACATTTTTCTTTAATTTTAACTTTCTTTATGACTTATTTTAATTTTATTTTCATTATCTATTAATTGGTAAACTTTAATTTAGTTAATAATTTTTTAATTCAATTCAAACAAAAATTTATAGTTCTTCACCAAAATATATGTAAAAAAATTCTCGAAACAAATAAATAAAAGAAACATATTAACGAGAAATGAGAATAAAATAAACATATTTTTAATTATAATACAAATTCAACAAATAAAATAAAAGAACTAAAACCATACTAATCAGAAATGAGAATAAAATGATTGATAAACTTACACTAGTAAAAAAAGGGATTACTAACGCGTCTATTATGCTTCAGTTAGTTACAAACTCAAACATAAAATAAGACGGTGATATTTTTGAAATTATTGAAAAAATATGTGCTTCAGTTCTATCTTAATCGAAGTCATAAAACACCAATACCCTCAGTTTTTGCAACCAAAGCCATAAAGCATGCTAAAGTCAAAATCTTAAAGGATGAAATTTAACAAAATCTTAAAAAAAGAACTCTAAGATAAAAGAAAAAAAAAATCAAAATCAAAATCAAAATTAATTATAAGAGAATAAAGATAATTAATTATTTTCTTTTTTTAAAACAAAATTATAATTTATTTTAAAAAAATTTAACTCATTAAATATTTTTTTAATACAATAAAAATTAATAGACACCGATAATAATTTAATTAATTTCAAACATAAAATTGTAATTAATTATAATTAATTTAATAGATGTTTATTAGTATTAAAAATGTTTTTTTAGGTTTTTGTGTCTTCAATATAATTTTATAATTAATTTAGTAAAAAATATTAGTAGTACAATTTTTTTTAGACCAAAAGTAAGTGTTTTACGTGTTTATCTTTAAGTCGAATCTGATTTGAATAAGTTTATAAATTTCTTTGAACTAGTAAATTACTAAATGATAGAAGCATAACTCTGAACTAACAATACCTTATATAAATATTTTATTAATCATATATTTTTTTAAGTTAGAAGAAACCTCTACGTAGTAATTTACTTATATTAATTATAACTTTATA